CCACTGCTTTCCCCTCATCCACGGAGCCAGTTATCTCATCATATCAAGTGCACCTCTCACGAATCTCTCAATTTATTCTTTACCAATTTCTGCTATTTTCAGTAAAGGCTCTTGTACACCTGATATTACATGCAATCCAGTAAACATGCTGGTAAGCACCTCTGGCTGTGATTCAGGATTGAATGGCTTTGTCATATTATTGATGACATGGTTGGTAAAACCAACAACATACTCTTCATCCCCATTCAGTGCAGAGGCAAGGAATTTTGTTGATTTTGTGTTCACTACTTCTTGTTAGGCCACTTCTCTCTCTTGTAGCTTTTGCATATTTACTTAGGACATTTCTGGCTTCTCTCTCATCAGTCCTACAGTCCCAATGCTGACCTCTGAGTCTTTGATAACAGTTTTCTCTAATCCCATGTGACTCCAAAATTCCACTGAAAGAACCAGAAGTTGAACAGACAGCAAATTCCCAGATTCAGAGGCACTGTGTACTTCAGGCAGCTTTAACATAAAGAATGTAGATTATTATCCACCTGGCACAGTTGTGCCTATTTGGACTAAAAAGTATGGAAACATGGCATGCTGTGTGTGTAGGTGAAGTTTCCAATCACACACTCGCTCTGTATGAACATTCTTCTTAGCGTATGCGCAACATGCTTCAGGTGGCATGTGACCAGGACTCATCACCGAATTTGGTCAGCTGGTTGGATCATTAGCTTGCCGGGTACTGACAGAGAGCGCAACATGAATGCTGATCCATGCCCCCCTGCATGGACATTTAGAAGTAATATCTGCATAACTTGACAAAAATAACTCCAAAACTTGAATGTAGGATACTGGACATACCCCCCATTTGAAATCCCGCAGTACTGGTAGCATATGCTGAGTTATATCATCATCAGACTCTTTAAGGACATGTAAGAGCTTAATGTCTTCAGATTCAAACGCCTTTTTAGTGATAGCTAACGTTTGCCAGACAAATGCTGGAACTACACGAGTACTGCTCACACCATTTAACAAATGACTAAAGTTTCAGAGCATTCAGAATCTCAAATGCAGAGTTAAACTATGTAGAGTGAATTGCACTGCATATTGACATGGCCAAGGCCACCAAATTTGTTTGGCAAGGGAGGGACAATCACAGCAGCTATCAGTCCAGAAACTGTTTTCCGCAGAGCCCTGTCCTTAGCGAGACAGAGATGATGTTTCAATGGCAACTGTTCTTAGTCACCCACCTTAGTTCTTGTGTCTATGGTCCTCCTCCATGCTGATGGAATAGTTAGAAGAACAGATAGAGCAGAATTAGGGCATCAGCTGGAAGCTCAAGCTGAAAAGAATCCATGAGCTAAGAGCATGTAACCAAGAAACCACAGTGTACATCAGAAATGCCATTGCTATCGTACAAACTATGGCTGGAGACAAATTCCACACATTTGATGAATTGGTTACTGAGTACTTGGAGGCAGGTCCTAAAATGACTCGACAAACTAATTCTTTAATTGAAGTTTTTGACAGATACGTTAACAGTCACTCTGTAAAAACTGCAGAAAGACAGCACCAGAGAAGATCTAAGGCTGGATGCAAGAAATGCCAGATGATTGGTAGATGCCCTGTGCCTCCACAGCAAAAGGTTTCTAAACATGATAGCCAACAAGCAGTCACTTGTAAAATTTCTCTGAATATACAGTTCAAAATGCATCTGAGCATACCAAACACAAATACTGTTTGCTGGAGGTTTTTCCAATTGTGAAGTAGCAAAGTCCATCACCGGTAGAGGTGTTGAAGAAGCCCAAGATTTGCACAGTATTCAATAGGAAGCAGACACAGGGATGCTCCTGCATACTGTATGTGCCAATATGACTTTTTGGGTCTCTTGATGTCCAAGGAACAATAGTAATTTGATCACGTGATACAGATATTTTGGTCCTTGCTCTTCACTACTTTCCAAAATGGAACACCCAGATGATAGGTGGACTGAAACAGGCACCATTACCAACACAACTGACAAGCATAGTTTCATACTGTGCATGCAATTTGTGATACACTCATTCTTGACTTTGCAACATTCTTCCTGTTGTACGCACATTAATAGAATGTGACTGTCATCCCTGTTTGGTATTGGGAAAGAGTCTGTGTTTAGTGCTGTCAAAACAATGGGAGCTTACCGCTTCAGAGATCTTGCAAAATTGGCAGAGTGTGACAGCCAAGCCACTCTTTCTGCGGCAAGGAAGTTGGTAGCAGTGATGGATGAGTAGAACAAGGAAAATAAAAAAAAAAGAGCCACAAAGACCTGAATTACTTGTGCCTCTATCTACCATAAAAAAGGACAAGTCACTGGCCTAACTCCATCCATGTGAGGACAGTTTTGAAGAGTATGTCAAAAGACCATCTTGGCAAACAAAGATTTGGATGTCTTCACACGTAGGTAAACCAGATATTGGATCACCAGTGCAACATGGATGGAAAAATGTAAAAGATGAACTACTTCCCTGTATTCTTCAAGGATCCAGTGGCATCTGAGCATCTACCAGACCTTATTTGTGCCTGTCCAGTAGGGGTCATTGCATAATCAACTGTGTCTGTAGTCAGAACAAATCTTCCCTGCACAGAACTGTGTACATGCCAAGGCATTGAAGGCTGTGGTGACCCACACACTTTCAACAGAGATCATAATGAACAAGATCATGTTGACTAGAAATGTCATTGGGACATTCCCCTCTGGTGTCATCCGGACCGGTGACCCCAATTGGGTCACCCCAATCCTTGACTCTAGGAGCCAGCCTTATCCTGCTCTGCCATGAGAACCCCCACTCCGGGGCTGTTCATGCACAGCCTCTGGCATGTAAGCTGCTTCCAGCTACTTGCAAGCGAATGACACTAGCCAATAGTGTCCCAGACACAACCCTAGGAACCGCCGTCTTGCAGGGTCCAGTTATGCTCACTGGACACTGCAAGCTTATGAGAGTTCATCAAATTAACAAAGAAATTGATATGTACCAGGCTTGTTATCCCAAGGGGAGCCTCTGACATGCTTCAAACCAAACGCACTGCTTCAGGTAGAATAAACAAACAGATTTATTAACTATGAAGATAGATCTTAAGTGATTATAAGTCAAAGCATAAGTAGTCAGAGTGGTTACCAAAGGAAAATAAAATATAAGCATGCAATCTAAACTCTCAACCCTATTAGACTGGGAAGCAACTAGATTAAGCAGTTTTTCTCACCCCACTGGATATTGCAGTCCTTAATATACAGGTTTGTTCCTTAAACCTGGGCCAATCTCCTATGTTTGAGTCTTGTCTTTTTCTCAGTGTCCTGGTTGCTTGCAGTAGAGGTGGGGGCAGGAGAAGGGCCTCATCTGTGTCCACTCTGTTTTATACCCTCAGTCCATGTGCTTGTGGAACACAAGTCCAAGCATATCTGTAGGGTATTGCTGAGTCTCTCCCAGCAAAGTTGAGCAATTCCCCAGGTGGGGCCTCGTGCAGGTGAGTCATTGCATTGTAGCTCCCTTGCTGAACAATGGCTGTTCATGGGTTGTTTCACACCCCACCCGGGCATTGGTTACTTTCCTTGCTGTTGCCTCTGGGGAGCTAATAACTGGCTGATTCCCCCAATTTACAGCATGTTTTAGTGACAATCAATCATAGAATATCAGGGTTGAAAGGGACCTCAAGAGGTCTAGTCCAACCCCCTGCTCAAAGCAGGATCAATCCCCAGATTTTTTTGCCCCAGTTCCCTAAATGGCCCCCTCAAGGATTGAACTCACAACGCTGGGTTTAGCAGGCCAATACTCAAACCACTGAGCTATCCCTCCCCCACCCATAGAACTGGAAGGGACCCTGAAAGGTCATCAAGTCTAGCCCCCTGCCTTCACTAGGAGGACCAAGTACTGATTTTGCCCCAGATCCCTAAGTGGACCCCTCAAGGATTGAACTCACAACCCTGGGTTTAACAGGCCAATGCTCAAGCCGCTGAGCTATGCCTCCCCCCCCCCATACTACACAATCCTTATAACTTCATATGCATTAATGATACACATCTATGGATAGAGAAATGACTTTCAGCAGATCATAACCTTTCCCCTGATACATATAAAGCATGCCTTGTAAGGTAAGATTACGATTATATGAAAATGAGGAATATGGGGGTTAAAGCATTCTCCCCCCCAAGGTATAGAACAGGGGTAGGCAACCTTTAAGAAGTGGTATGCTAAGTCTTCATTTATTCACTTTAATTTAAGGTTTCGCGTGCCGGTAATACATGTTAACTTTTTTAGAAGGTCTCTCTCTCTAAGTCTGGGGGAGGTGTGGGGGTGCAGGGCAGAAGGCTGGGTGTTGGGGACGACTCGAGGTCAGGGCAGAGGGCTGGATGTTGGGGACGACTCGAGGTCAGGGCAGAGGGCTGGGGTGTGTGGGGGGGTGCAGGGCAGAGGGCTGGGGTGCTCGGCTTGTGGGGGTGCTCCCAGCCCCCTGCTCTGAGCGGCTCATGGCAGGGGACTGGGAGGGATATGCCCCGTTCCACCCCCTTCCCCAAGGCCCGTCCCTACCTCTCTGCCTCCTCCACAGAGCAGGGAGCACGCTTGGCTCTGCTCCGCTCCCCCTCGCAAGAGCCATCTCTGGCAGGGAGGAGGAGGGGCCAGAATGCACCACGCTGGGGGAAGAAGCAGGGGAGGGGAGAAGCTTGACTGCTGCAGGAGCAAGCTTCTGCCTCCTGCCCCGGCAGGGGAGAGTGGTGTGTGGGGGGGTCCCGGCCCCCAGCCCCACTCAGCCCCCCCGCCCACCGCTCTCCCCTGCGGGGCAGGAGGCAGAAGCTTGGTCCTGCAGCAGCCAAGCTTCCCCTCCTCTCCCGCTTCTTCCCACCATGTGGCGCTTTCCGGCCCCTCCTCCTCTCACCGGGCAGGCAGCATGCCACTCAAAATCGGCTCGCGTGCCATGTTTGGCACATGTGCCGTAGATTGCCGACCCCTGCTATAGAATGTCACAGTCACCCAATGCGATTACATTTCAATACTTGTACAAATTTATTCAATTTTGTTTGCCCTTTAAATTGTTTTTGTGAAGCTTAGAGATCACAAAGAAATCCAATTTTATGTCTTGAAAGAATACAGAGTCATTAAACTAACAGAAACAAATGCAAATGTCTATTAAATGCAGCTCCTCTCCATTCCCTCTCTCCCAGGAGAAAGCTGTATGCATAGCATGTGCGTGTGTGGGTTAGTTAGTGAGCTGTGTGTTGTTTGGGAAGACGAAGTCAAAGAAATGGGTCTTGCATTTGAAAAACAGCTGTACACATTTCTAGTTCTTGTGAGAGTTCAACACAGTCTGGAGCAATCCCCTAAGAAGGCCCATCTCCTGCATGGACGTACTTCACCTCCGACAGACAGTTCCATTGCTCCTGAGGAGTGGCACTGACGAGCCCCTTCTAACTTCCTCACACAAAACCAATCCTCCATTTGGCACAAAATCTCTCACGCTGTGACTCAGGCTTGAGGTGCAGTTTATTAGTAGTCTCCTTCTCTCAGTTCTCCTCCCCAGGCAGCTAATTCGCAGCACGGAGCCCCCCTAATCCCCCCCAGACGAAGTAAAAGGCACCAGCCACTCAGCTCTGTAACTCTCCATTCAACTCTGTACAGAAACAACACAAGGCAACCGCAAAGGGGGAGGGGAGGGGGGGTCAGGCTGTCAGTAAACTCTTTTATTACAACTCATTCAGTTATTAAAAACCCACCACACAGAGCATGAGGCTCCCTGACCTGGAAGAGTCTGCACATACCCATTTCCCAGAGAAGTTTAGTCCTTCTTGGCATAGATACTGTCCAGCGCATTCTGGGCATCTGTGATCTGCTGCTGCAGTCTCTCTCTGGTAGCCTCGTTAGTAGTTTTTTTCAGCATGCCTTTCATTTCTTCCACAACAGCCCGATAACCCGCTGTGTTATGGAACACCCGGATGGCCCGGTCCCCACACGACACAAGATAGCGACTGTTAATGTCGAAGGCTAAGTCCGTGATGTACTCTCCGTGGACATTGACAAAGTGCTCCTCCTTCTCCCCCCTACGGGTGTTGTACACAGTGATGCTGGTGCTGCTAGAGATGGCCAGCACACGAGCATCAGGGGACAGGGCAATGCGACAAGGCTCCATCACTTCACATTTCCCTGTCAGGAGCAGATAAGGATCTTGTTGCTTCTTGTATTCTACATCGGTGTCCCACAGCTTCCACGTGCCATCCTTCGAAACGGTCACCATCCTATGGCAGGAGAGAGCACACACGTCACAGCTGCAAAGAGACTAGGCAGCACCATTCCTCTCTCCACCCTCACAAACCACAGCCCCTGTTATGGAACAGAAAGAAGGAACAACTCTCCTGAACAGTGCAGACTGCAAGTAGAGAGCAGCTGACCCCATTATCTGGGGAGAGGGGAAGGTTAGTGCTCATAAAAGCAATTCCCTTCAAACATGAGCATATGGGCCTGTCACCAATTGGGTCAAAACTGAAGGAACAGGAAATCTCAAATGTTAATATAAACGAGAGTCTTCATTCTCCATCCAAGTGGGGAAGAATGGCTATGTACCAAGGTTAGTGCAATCTGTCTGGAGTGGGGGAGGAAGAAGTGGGACCCTGCCTGGCACAGTCTCCATGCTGGCTCAGATTTGCTGCCATGGATTCCTTTTCCCAAGCTTCCTATTTGTCAGGATGGACAGAGTTTTGGGGCACACTGCCGAGAAAGGGGAGTCCATACAGGCGTACTGCTCCTATACATTAGGAGGGGCCAGTTAACAAGCCACAAGGGCATGGGATACTGATATTTTTCAGGGTAGCTCCTTACCGTCTGGAGTCATTGGAGAAAGAGAAGGAGTACACGCCAGCAGTATGGCCCTTCAGCTCAAAGGCCCTGGTCACCTCCTGGAAGTCTCCTCCCTTGCCAAAGCACACCTCCCATACCTTCACATCAGGGGTGAAACCACATGATGCTACAAACCTGGGGAGGGGAGAGAGAGCAGGTGTGTTCATCAGTTATGCCAGCCCAGTCACTAAGCATCTCCCAGGCCTGTGACAGCGCCAGCATGATTCCATTTTTGGATCCCTCCTAAACAAACTGAAGGAATAAAAAGCAACCAGTTGGGGGTGCCAAAAAGTGAGTGTGTATAAGAAAGCATTCAGGGTGCTGGCTGATCCTGTGTGGAGATGTGAATCACAGCTTGGGTCACATGGAAAATTAATTTCACCTGCCACCAAGAAGTCACTGCAGTGACAGGTGAATGGCAATCCCAAGGGATCAGTATGGGACAGGACGATGCAGAGAGACCGCTCCAAAGAAAGGAAATCCTGGCATCGCATGTTTCTAGCCCAGCGAAAGGGGAGCCCAAACACCTGCCCTCAGGGGTCAGGATCCTCTAGTGCCTAAGCTTGGAGGCTGATGAGCTCATGGCCTCACTGGTGAGAGATCATTACAGAGTGATCTTGGTTAATGGACAACGTCCACTACGAAAAATCACATTTCCATCAGAAGATTTGGTAAAAGTAACCCCTACAATGTTCTTAAACTTGGGGAAAAAAAAAAACAGCAACACATCTGCACCTCTGACAGCACAAGTCTAGTCAGTCAGTCTCAGATCTGATGACATACACTCTTTCCCAGTCTTCAAGAACATGGTTAGCAGTAACAGCAGCAGCAATGCTGAAGGTGAACAGGCAGCAAGCAGGTGTAGAAAGGGAAGGAGAGAGGAGCCAGAACATGCCTAGTGGTACCACTTTTAGACCTTCTAAACAAGCAAGGGAACATAACCTTCCATAACTTCTCAAAGGTTTTTAGGAGTAGGATGTACTGTTTAAAAGTGGATCTATTGAAATTTAAAAATTAATCAACTGCAAACAATTCAAGTTGATGATGCCCCTTTGGGGAAGGAGTGAGGCTCCTAGCCTGTTTTATTTCTTGTGCCCCTCACACTCCCCGATGGGAGCAGATAGCATCCTGATCCCCCATCCCCTTGGCAGCAGTCTTGTGTTCCTCACCGCCCACAAGGAGATACAGCTGCAAAGGCGTTGTTCATCTGGTTAGTGTTGATGTTGGCCAGGACTTCACCCTTCAGGTCCCAGATCAGAATGGTTGTGTCACTGGAAGCTGTCATGATGAACTTCCCTAGGAAATGAAGGACAAAGATTAGTAGTCTCCCAAGTCTAGTGTTAGTCTAGCCACACAGAAGAACATGCTAGCAGCCAAGCAGTCATATCACTCAAGCTTCCTGTGGGCTGTCCCACCAACCACCAGGAGAGGAATGTCTAGTCTAGAAAGCGATCCATTCCCAGACATCAGGGAGGGGAAGAAAAAAGCAAAAGAATTCCCCAATTCTGAGAGCTGTGGGGTGGGGGAGAGACCCACTCTGAGCTCCCCTCTTCCTGGATGCAATGGCAGAGAGAGGCACAAGGCTGGCAAATGCTCATTGAGAGGCAGTTTCAGCTGCTCTTGGACCAAAACTCTCCCCTCTGAGCAGGACCCCTGCACTTGACTGGGCTTAACTTTTTTTGGAGCGGGAGCAGTTGTAGTAAAGAACAGGGCAGGAACTAAAGGTCCCAAATGCTTCTGCCCTGGGCATGCTCCTTTTTGTAGCTAAGTAGACCATGGGCTTTCTGCATTCAGCCAGATAAAGCTTTCCCATAGTGCACAGAATATGCCAACCAGAGTCTACAAGCTTCAGTGACACAAGGCTTTAAGTGTGTCCTCCTTGCTCATCAGTCTTGTGAAGATCACTTGCAAGAAGGCTCAGTCCCTGAGTCTGCATTGATACTCAGTCCCTTTAGTTTCCACAGGGTGCACCAGGCTAGGAAGGGTTGACTTTGAAATAAGACAGTTACCTTTGTCCATAACTGGTGTTCTTCGAGATGTAAAGAACTTAGGTGTGTGTGCTCGCCACATGCACCGGTGCCAGAAGTTTCCCCTCAGCAATATCCGTAGGGGACCGGCTCTGGCGCCCCCTGGAATGGCATGCACATGTCACAGTATATAGGGCGCTGCCAGCCCCCTCCACCTTCAGTTCCTTCTTTCTGGAAACTCCGACAGTGGGGAAGGAGGGCGGGTCATTGAACGGACATGAGCAACACATCTTGAAGAACACCCGTTACGGAAAAAGGTAACTGTCTTTTCTTCTTTGAGTGATTGCTCACATCCATTCAACTTAGGTGACTCCAAGCAGTACCCCTGGAGGCAGGTAAGGAGTTCACGGACATGTAGATTGCAACACAGCTCTGCCAAACCCAGCATTGTCCTTGGCCTGCTGCGTGATGGCACAGTGGGCCGTGAACGTGTGTACAAGGACAACGTCGCAGCTTTACAGATGTCCTGGATTGGAACACATGCCAGGAAGACCTCTGAGGATGCCTGCGCTATAATCGAGTGGGCTCTGACGATCGGCAGCAGCGGGGCCCCTGCCAGCTCGTAACAAGTCCTTATGCAAGAG